ATGATGGTGTGTTACATAGAAAATCAGGATCTGTTTTCTTTTGTTCCAGAGTACAGGACATAGAATAATGGATTTAACTATAGGTAGGCAGATTGTGAGTATTAAGAAAAACTTCCAAATAATAATACCAGTTTAAACAGTAACTGCATTTATTAAAGGAAGTGATAAGTTCCATTCACCAAAAGTGATTATGAAGAAGATGGAGAATTACCTACAAAAAATGTTTTGATTTCCTGCACTGTGTAAGAGGTCTTCCGTCCCTATGAACTCTATCCCAAAATGTTTTCAGCACACTACTTTGTTATGGATTGATCTGGCATTAAATAACAGTACCATCAGATTTGCTGACTCATTATAAGAATTAATATTAGAGCTTTGAAGTTTATGTGCATACATTCAGAACAAATACAAGAATATACCTACCCATGCACTGAATCATTATTGATATAGTTTACTGATAGAAAAAAAATGAGGCCACTTATTCAGATGACATTTGAAATGAATTAAACAAAGTCATTAATAATGAATCTACTAGGACCTAGGCTTTCATTACAACAGTATAGTGAGTTTTCAGATTCAAGGCAGCAAGGCATAATGATATCTAAAATACAAAAGATATATTATATTTAGATTATAGTCATGAGCTTTCTTTATAAATTACATGTGGCACTGTGCAACAGTATGTTAGATTAAAAAAAAGAATTACTGAATCTTAACTGAATAACTTTTTCTGTTATTATTATTATTATTAAAAATCTATTTTCATGCAAGAATTCAAGTTTCATTCATAATCTGAGAGTAAATTTTGCCAGTTAACTATGATAAAGGAAGAAAAGCAACAATTTAATCAAGAGTTAGAAGAAAATGTTAGTCTTGTAACTGTGCCACATTATAGATATAAATCACTTCTAAACAGATTATTTAGAACAGTTAAACATATCTCCCAAAACTTAAAAGCCTCAAGCACAAAGGCCATGCAAGATGACTCGTCCTAATATAAAATGTCTGAAGTGGGCATGTTCAGATTCATTTAGAAATATTTATTTACTGTATATCCTACCTTTATTGTTTGCATAAATAACTCAAGATAATGAACATATCTAATAGTAATATGACATATTTCTTTTATACTTTTATGATAAAAATATTTATAAAAATATAATAGGAAAGAAAGGCCTAAGGGGAAAAATACTATAATCAATTCAAAATTTCTCATCTATAATTAGACGTAGCAGCAACCTCTACCATTTCATCTTTTTGGAAAATGTGTAGACCTAGCTCTGTATAAATATATTTTCTTTGTCTGTGAAAGAGCTTTGGAATTCTTAAAACAGATTTCTTTAAATATAGCTTATTAATACCTACTACAACAATCTTGAAAAAATTAAATAACTTGGTTGTAATTGGTGGTAAAGTGAACATATACTGTAGGTATGAAATGTTTAGTTACTCCAACTAAAACATTATAAATATCCTTTCCTAATGTGAAATTGATATATATCAAAGTAAAGCTTATGCACTGTCACTTCCCACTATGTTAGTAGGATAGATACGTGAGGGGACAACATTCTTCATTTGTATTCTTATTTAAATATCAGCAGTATTTGGCAAGAGGTCAAGTCAGAACTGTGTTATGATCTGGATTTGAGTAAAATGTGTAAATTATCTTTAGTGTTTTATCCTAAATGTTCTTTCTCTAATATAGAATTAAGTTGCAGTATGTATTCAATCACCTCTAATGTCATTATTTTCCCATTGGTAGTATTTTAAATATTTTACTGTATTCCTTATTGTGGAACTGAGACATATTTTAAAGGTCTAAAATACTAAATCAAAACTATCTGAGGGCTAGAAATGGTCAGCATTGGCATGTTTTAGAACTTTTAATATACAACTAGAATTGTCTACTGATTTCAGAAAAGCTATGGAGATAGCAAACTGAGAACACCACATAGAAACCTTCTCAATGATTTGTTATCCACTACATCTTGATTCACACTCTCCCAGTTTCCAGCCTGATACCTTAATCTCTACACCAAACTGGCTTTCAGTTATAAGTTATTACCAGTTCCTATCCTGATAAGTAGAGAGAAACTGTTGTGACAAAGACATGATTGTAAACAAGAAATGCACTATATTTTTTGAAATCTAACAACGTCCTGACAGTGAAAGAAATATGAGTTATAATCAATCTTTACTAAAGGTTTTAATAAAGCAAACTCAAAAACTCCTTTTTATGTAATTTAAAATTACTGATTAGCAGCAATCCTAGGACCAAATTCCTAGGTGATTATTTCTTTTGTTATTAACCTTCCAGAAACAGCTGTATGGAACAGCTGATAACAAAGATACAGTATAATGTACAAAGATTTGTTCATTTAAATTATTCCAAACATTACATTATAATTATTTATAATTATATTTATAAATTATAAATATAGTAGTTTATAAGAGGCACATATATACCTCTTATAAATATTCCTCAAAAGTTGTAATCTGGTCACAGTTTTTTATGCTCACATTCTGCACACACTCTGCTAGAGAGAAATTCCCTGAAGATGGTCCCCAGCATGTGTCAGAAAGCTCAAATGTCAAAACCTCTGGTCCTAGCAAATAATCCAGACTGGATTCTGCAACAGTATCCTAGAACATGTATTTTATTCTTAAATATTTTGTAAATTTTGCTGATTATTGAATAAATTGTACTGTTATTTATTAGACATATACAGATTCTATGGCTTAATGTCATGACTCACAATGCAATAAGGTAGATATTTAATTGTATTTCTACCACAATGAAGTTTAATTAATATAAATAATAATTTAAAAGTACTATAGCGTTAGAAAATCATTTGTTTAGACTGGCAGGCAGTCCTTACTTACCAAGGGTAATTGAGATCAAGAACTCCATCGCTAAACAACACACTTAAAAAAGTTAATATCATGGGACTGCACTCACTTAAGACTGCAGTTCTATCAGGCCTAGTTGCTGTTATGTGAATCCCAAATGGCTATGGTGTCCTACAATCATTTGATACCCATTTGCAACCTCCTGCTGGCTTCCACATTAACTTTTGCTTGTTGGACACCAGCAGTGGAGATGGAAATGGTGACTGTGGAATGCTTTATTGTCATCACTGCAAACTAGATGCCAAGTGTCTGAATTGCGATTACATGATTGTGGGGATGTTGTAATGGCTGCGACTATGAGGACCAGTCCTAAATACTCTATAGCACTACTGTTAAGTTCAAATAGTTGATGAACGAGGGGAAGTTAAATGAGGACTAGCTATATATCTCATCTTTCAAATTGAAAAAAAGATTATCAGGGCATTAACAGCAACAAAAGAAAAAAACTCAATTATTCTTTTTAAATGCAATTCAAAACATAGCTAAAAGACATAAATAGTACAATGTTAATGAAAATATTTTAATTAAAGTGTATCCTCAAAACCGTTCTAAAAGTGAAGAGGGGGAAACCAAACACATTTCCAAAGATGGTATTCCACAGTTTAGGAGTGTTATAGGAAAGACTTTCTGTAAATCTGAAGGAATATCTTCAGAAGGAATTCACCTCTAGAAAGTTTTATAAAAACAGATATAATCCTTCTTGCAATGAGACCTTAAATCTAAAATTATAAAAAGATAAAAGTGCACTTTAATTTGTGCTCTGACAAAAAAAGACTTGAAATCAGTACATATCTTTCCAGTTAGTTACAATATTGTTCTGATATTGCATATCTTAGCAACACAGCACTTCCTATTGTAGAAATGAGTGCACTGCAGAAATCTAGTTGTGATGTAACAAGGCATGGATAACTGTTGCCAGCACAGACTAGCTGAAGAATGAATCCAACTGACACCTAAACATAATTTGCCACTGTTAGCATCTAGAAACCCAGACACAGGTCAGGATTAATTCCCAGGACAGAGATATGTTATTTGAGGGAAACAGAATTCTTTCCAGAAAACAAAACCAAACAAAAAACACCTTACACTAACAGTACTTCTATCTTGCTTGGATTTAATTTCAGTTTATTCACCATCAAGCAGTGAACCCTAGGGATTGTTTAACAGTATCAAATGCTTCCTTGAAATTAGACATCAGGGAACCATAGAAATACATCACAAGTTAGACAAGGAATGGAACAGTATCTACTAATATTACCCACATTTATTTAAGTTTTCTCTTAAAAAATAGTTTTATTGCACTTATCTTACTTTTCCATTTGCATAAGTAGAAAAGCAAATACAGATTTAATTTCACTGTCCTCATTCAGGCTTCCACCATAAAAAACACAATAAACCTTTCAATCTTCCATATTATGAAAATCTAGAATCATAGTTTTCTTATTTAGCAAAAGAAGCAAATTTAATCTACTTTAAATAAAGATAAATATTAATTACAAGACCTACAATAAAAGATACCATAACTTCACAATTGAAATTTTTACATCAGCTTTTACTTTAATTATATATACAAAATAAGTTTTCTGAAAGTGTCAAAAACTTATTAAAATTTGAGACCTCAAATTTGTTTTTTTAAAAATGAGGTTTTTCATGCTCCCAGCCCCATTGTATATATAGGGTTACTACTACAAAAATAATTTTATATAAATATACTCTTTATTATTATCAAGTACCAAATCTCCTTGAAAAACACATAAAACCCTAGAAGTCTCATGTTACATTTTATTTATACTCTGGATGCTTCAGAGATATTTAGCATATCTAATGCAACCCCAAAAGTTGCTGCTAGGAAGAAATAAAATGTGAGTTTATGCAATGAGATTGCAACCTCATAAGAGTCACATGCCATGTTGATAAAAATGAATTTGAGTTATTTATCAGGCTAAAATGATATTATTTGAGCAACAGCATTAAATATTCATGATTATGGGTGTAAATGAATAAATAAAACCTCAACCCACCATATCTTTTTCTCCAGTTTGCAAGCCACTTGTGAAAAATATGGTGTAGATGGTAGAATGATACTATACCTGATTAGCTCTGGAGGTGGTCATGGGATCAGATGGAGAGGACTTGGTGGTAGTTGGGGATGATGGCAATGTCTGGGAACAAAGCAGTTCAGGAGCAAATCAACCTCAACAAGCCTTAGACCAAACAGTTAAAAAAAATAAACAAATGTAATGTAATATAAAATTAAATAGAAAAAGCCTGAAAAACTAAACTTTATCTTCCTCATTGGAACTTAATGGAATTTAATGCCAATCAAGCAATAAGTAATGCATGTAAGTATGCATGCATACACATGTAAAACAAATTAATGGCTTAAAATTAAGATGGTAAACTCACAAAATAAAAAAAAATACACTGCTACTATGAATATTTTTCCAATAATTGTTTCTTAAGACTAAAGAGTAGTAAATAGAAATTCCAACAAGTTCAATGAGCAGATGTACCACAAATTCTGTTACCATATGCTTGGAAAAGTAAAGCTTGCATTCTGATATACTATATTTTTGTCAAATACTACATCTTTTGTCTTACACAATTAAAATATAAATTTAGTTATCTATATTATATAATAAATGTATTATATAATATGTATACATTGAAATCAAATTTCAGTAACACTAGAATTAGTGTTTAAAATGAATTTTTGTCAATATTAATATTAAACTACACAATTTAAAATCACATTATAATGAACAAGAATTGATTTCACATAGCACTTTCTAATATTATTATTATTAATAATATGGGAAAGTCTCAATTACCAAACATTACTCTAAAGAGAAAGCTATAAATCTAATTTCAAGATAAAAGTTTTTTTATTTTGTTTTTAATGTAAGATAATTCTTGTATATTTCATGCTTTTCAACATATCAGAAACAACAACAACATAATAGATTTAACATCAAATAATATAGTAAATAATATTTATAAATTTATCAACATACCCAAACTGTAGGTATCACAGTTTCTCTGGCTATTGTTATGTAAAAGTACTTTTTGGTTTATGCAAAAATTATTCTGTAGCATACAGAGAACTCTGAGCTTGACTCAGGTCACTTTAAAAAATCCAGTTGCAACAAAAAGTTGTAAAAAGTTCAGTTTACAGTAAAATAAAAATCTATCAATTACTGTAGAGGTAAAGATCACAATTTAAAACGTCAGCACTATAACATTTCTACTTGTTAAAATCAGTATAGAGACTGGGGAAGAGGGAACACTGATAGTAAACCTACTGCTAGGGACTGGAATAACAACTGAAAAGCTCTTTCTCTTTAAAAGAAAAGTCATGTTATATACAGAAGAGCTACAGAGATATTTATATTTATATTCTTTTGAAAACTTCTAGAGAATATGTTCCAAAGTATACTATATGGTTTATTTCATTTAATAATTCAAGTATGAAGCACTGATAATATTCAACATTATAATTTTACAAAGTTTAATAACTATTCCTATCTCAATGCTAAAGAAAATAATTAAATTTTGATGAATTATCAGCTCTGTTTAATTAATTATGAAGAACAAAAATAAACAGGATATCTAATGTATATAACAGGGTAAATATTACCAAAGATTTATAAGACCTGATAAAATTTCCACAACAATCATAATTCCATAAAATATTTGCAAATAGTAAAACTTTTTTAGTAAATTAACAAAGATTCTTCTAATTGATATGCATTCTGCTGTCCTTTTCTAGTGTCCCTTTCTGCACAGATGCTATAAGACAGACATGTCAAATCCGCAACGTCATGTGACATCACACAATGTATCGGGACGGTTTTGCCATTGCCAGCAATGGGGTGGGTGCGGCTTCCGGATGATGCGTCCAGCCCGCGGGCCGGCAGTTTGACACCTCTGCTATAAGAGATTATAACCAGGAGAAACAGGTAAAAAGTGATGGTTCAAATGCTTGATGGAAATTTATTTTTCCACATAGAAAATGAAAATGGCAGATAATGAGTTGAGAAGGCAAAGCTTTAGAATTTATGAGAGTAAAAGCACAGAGATGAAAAAAATAATAAGTCTGAGGAGATCTATATATATGTTCAGGTACTGGAGGAAAGACATATTAATGCTATTGATAAAAATGTAGTGCTACTTCCATGTAGTGCTCCTTGATAACTGCAGCTGGTCAATAGGATAGTGCAAAAATCAATGGTTCAGTCAATGGTCAATTTCTTTCTTTCTGTTTCTCTCATATCATTTCTTGGAAGGATAGCAAAATGGGGAATGAATGATAATAAAGAAGAGATGTTAAGATATCTTACAGAACAGAGATGCCAGAAGGAAGGGAGAAAATAATAACATTTGGAGAAAATACAGTTATGAGGTTCATATATTGATATTAACTAATTCTTTCAATATATTCCTAGTTTCATTCATTACTGTATTGTAGAACTTTCCACTGCACACTTGCTTTTTTATTTTAAAATTATATTTCCTCACAGTAACTTTGAAAATGAGATCCAGTATATTGGTATATTAAAGGTGGAGCCAGAATCTTTTCAGCTACAATATCTATCATACCTAATTATTGGCTACCCTCGGTGAGGCTGATGGAGTTGGAGTCAAACACCATCTGGGAGGTCACAGGTTTCTTATATCCTACAGTTAGCAGTACAGTATGTCTTTAATAGGAACACCATCTATACTATAGTACTCAAATTGCACCTGTTTTTCATAAAATGATAGTCTTATTAATGCAATCTTAATTCACAGGACCATTTGTTCCATTCCATTAAGTTGATACATGTTTGAATAGATAATAAGCTATATCTTTTCCTTCCTTTTATTAGCATGTTTTCACTTAGCAATGCAACAAAACAGGAAAATCAAGGAGGTAAGGAAAGAGAAAAGCACTGAACTAGAAGAATATTGAAGTATATTTCGTCAGTAATTTCAGATTTAAAATAAGATAGGATTTGACAGCTATCATTTTTTCTGAATCAGTGCTGCTTCTAATATAACCCTACATTTATGCATTTGATTCCAGTATCTTCCACTAACTGTCTTGTTATCTTAGTTTATCAGTAATCAAACATTTATATCTCCTTATTTCTGTGTCCATATAGATCACGGGTATCAAACTCAATTGAGTCACGTGATTTATCATGACTTTTTTGCCTTTGCAGAGCCGGTGTGGGTGTGGCTTGCGCGTGATGCATCTGGTCTGTGGGCCACCAGTTTGACACTCCTGATATAGATGAACACAAAGAAACTAGACTATCTAAAATGGAGTTATTATAATAATTCCAAAGCAAAAAATTTAAGGTAAGAGAATCAAGACATTCTCTTCTTCCAAAAACACAAATAAAGCAAAGTAGTTACAGATGCATCCTCATACAGAAATAGTCAAGCACAGCTTTCAAAGGAATTGCATGAGCCCTGTAAAGGGACATGGCTGCTTTAATGATGTCAAGGAAGATTCTTCAATCATAAAAATATGTTTCCAAATAATGTCTTTTGAATATTCTACACAATTCTAATATATAACACCTTGCCTAATATTAAATTATTGCCTCAAAATATGCTGGAATTATATTACAATAACAGTACAAAATGATTTCATAAATGTTGCTTACTGAAAAGCAGCATGCCATAAATAAATAAATGTTGGTTCATCTCCTATTGCTGAAAGAGGAAACAACAAAAATGAATACTAAACATTTGGAATCCTGTAAGATATATATGATAATAATGCTTCACACCAAGCTGCTAATATATCTTTCATTAAATAATAAGGAAGAGTGTTTAAATATCCACAAAATTGTAATTAGAAAAATTACAAAACATGCCATCCATTTTTCACCATTAAAACATGGATTATCCTTTGTTACATGAACAAATAAAACAATATCATGAGTTACAATGGAATTAAAATACAAATATCATTATTCTTGGATGAAATTACCTTAACATTAGGATAACAATCTGACTAAAGAAATTTTGCTCAGTTTTACATATTTTATTATCATGAAATTTATTGCCACAATATTTCTGAAGTAACATATCTTAGATGTGACAATCATATATCAAAGGTATCCTTCCTTTATATAAGAGAGGAAAAAAGGGTTTTAAAATACTGCTGTTTCATATAGTCTTAAATTTTATTAAATGATTAATTAGGAATACTTTTAGTTGATTAGATATATTACCTAATTAATTATTGAAACATATCAATTCTATTTAAAATAAAACCCAAGCTATTATAGTAGTAGAACAAATAAGATGTTGGCATTTAGCTTAATTACCATATTTCTACAAAAACATCAATGGTATGATTAGAGTATTGCTTACATTATTAAAAGATACTTCTGTTCAAAGGCCCTGCTATATGCACTTTTCAGCTATAACCCTAGGTCAAACCCTGCACCATTCTTGAAGCAGTGGCTATAGAGATGGCCCAGTAAAGAGCAGCAGAATTAAGATCAAATGAATTAAGATCATATGTCCACTGCATAAAATATTCCACTGATAATCACATATTATAAAAATATTAAGATATAAAAATAGCTTACCTGAAAGCATTGTTCTTCAAGAGTGGTCCATTAATAAACCATATTTATGGGTTATTGCCACTATCTAAATACAGGACTTTTCTAAAAGGTAAGAAAACTGTTAGGTGAAAAAAGGAAACCCACCTTTTTTCCTGCCAATAGGCTATGTTACTTATAAGAAAATTCAACTGAAGTAACACCAGTTAAGACAGAACAAGAAGAGGAATAAGATGACTAGTTTTTTCTCCAAGAAACAGTTTTGTTTTCTTTGAATTAAGTCATAATTGTAGGTAAGACCAGGATATTGCTTAATAAAGAATTTGAAAAATGCAATATTAGGCATCAAACAGCCATTTGGTTGGGCAAGATGATGGCAATTTTGCTTTTTTGAATAAGAGTTTTGTCACACATTCTGTAATTATTCCATGAGATAACTCCGTGAATTCTAACTAAATTTGGATACTAATTCATTGACAATAAAAAATTAAAATTTATAGAGTGCTGAATAATATACCATAACACTAATTGCAATAAGATGAAAAGAATATATGGAGTTTTTTCACTACTTTTAAATTGAAACAAAGACAAGGCTT